CATGTCATCTCCGAGCCGCAGCTCCAAAACTTCCTTCCCTCTGCGCCCTTTGCTTGTCTGACCATGGGCCCTTCGAATTATATGGTGTTTTGGGTTTTCCTTCATCTGATAAAGAGCTAGGGTTTAGGGCTAAGTGTTAGGGGTTTAGGATTTAGGGTTTAGGATTTAGGGTTCTGGGGCATTGTGATCTTGACCAGCTTTGAGCTGCCGGCTTCTCTCCAATCTCAATTCTAAGCCTGCAGGTAAGCGAGCTGCGGATCACCAAGGTGGGCAGGCTGCTAAGTTCAAATGCAGTGACCAACGACTTCCCCGCGATGATGCCCAGCCGATAGACGACCTCAACGTGGCCTTCACGAAAGACTTCGAGGGCATCATCGGACAGGTTTTGGACATGTACCCGGACATTGCCCAATCTGCGGCACTCACAGAGTCTGAGGGAGGCTCTGGGGCTACGTTCAACCAAGCTGCCTGCAGCGCGGCCTTGGGTGACAACGGCTCCTACGACTTCAAGGACACAATCTGGTTGCATGATTTACGTTGGCGTGCGCATCCTCTGACGCCCATCAATGTGCGAGGCATTCAGGAACTTGTGGAGTCTCGTTATGGGAAGGGACCTCCTGAGAACCACAGCTTCACTGTGACTCTAGCGTCAGAGGGCTATGACGATGATGTGGCCTCCCATGCTGGAAAGTTCAAGAGAGTGTCCCCAGAAGAACCTGTGTTTGCATTCCTCTATGGCTGCACGTTGGCAAGGGATGCTGACGAGAGAGCGCAGTACCGGCGGCTCATGCTCACAATGTCGTACCGGATGTTGTCCAAGGACAACATGAGCGAAATCCGCAAGCAGAGCATCACGATTCGGGAGAACCTGAGTGACGATGCGCGCGCAGTTCGGCGCACCGCCCTGTCTATGCTCCTCCTTGTGGTCACGCAGAAAGCTGAGTTGGTGAAGGCCCTGGGTTTAGAGTTATTCGGTTTTAGGGGTATAGGGTCTAAGGGTTACGAGTTATGGGGTCTAGAGTTTAGGGTCATAGTTGTCAGGGTTTTCTTGAGTTGTAGAGTCACTGCAGGCTGGTGGCAAGTGCAGCGTGGAGAAGCTCTATAACTTCTTCAACGACTGCGCGTGGGCACGCGAATCTGAGAAGCCTACCAAAGGGTTCCTGGAGAATTGCACCACGCTATGGAACAAGTTCAGCACCTGCGACGCAGTCAAGGTGGTGCGCGAAGCAGAGGTCTTGTTCGGTGCCGATTCGCCCTTCACCAGCGTACTGCAGATGTATCATCTGACTCTCTGCGGCGGGAAGCCCTCAGGTAGCAAGCTCCTGTGGGTTTTCGAGTCTGTGCTTGACATGAAGAGGGCAGGCTGTCTGAAGAACGAAGAGGTTTCGAAATCCAAGCTCATGGATGGTGGCAATAGCCCTGCCGACCTCTACGCTTTCAAATATGACCTTCTCTTAGAGTTTCTTGGCCCGAGCTTTCTCAATACGCTTGGCTTCTCGGCCGCGGTGTGTACAGAGTTCAACAAGGTGCTTGGCAATCACCGAAGCTTTCGTCGGGCCTTTGGCTACCGCAACAATGAGAGGGCGTTCTTCACAGAGATGCCAACTCATGAGGAGTGGCGCGCCAAGCTGAATCCAAGTGAGGAGCTTGCGCTTTAGGGTTGAGGCTTTGGTTTTTAGGGTTTAGGGTTTGGGGTTTAGGATTTTTGAGGCCCAAATTAAATCCAGATCGCCGCGCCCCCAAGCTTAAATCCTTTGACCACGTTTAGCGGAGGAAAAGTACCTGGAGCTGGTCGAGGGTGCCATCTATGACCGTTTCCATGACACTTCGATTCGGCAGTCTTTGAAGCTCAACCGGGTTGCCGCTGATGTGTTGAACCACGGATCTGTGGCAGCTGCAGTGCAAGCGATTCACGATGCGGCTGCAGCTGCGGCTTTGCCGCAGGAGGCGGAGGTTGCGCTGATGGAGGTTGAAGGGGCAGTCGCGAATGAGCCAGATGGCAATGAGGGCGAGGATGCCGGCGACCAGGATGGCATGATTTTCTTCCCAGGCGAGGAGGCCAAGGAAGCCTATGATAGGTGGCTGGCAGTTGCAGACAACAAGATCTCATCCTGCGTGGAATTGATCGTTAGGCCAGCTAACGGGTCCATGGACACCATGACGACGCTCATGATCAACAGCAAGACCTTCCGCCACGAGGCTCCCGAAGGGCAGCACCATTTGCACATCTATGACGGCAAGACTGAGGGTGAATCAAAGACTCAGCCCGCGCTACGAGTTCCCAACAACCGGCCGGCGTACATGGCAGCAGCTGTCGGGGCGGCGCTGCGCGCTCGGTGCAAGCAATTTCATGCAAGCCAGCAGGACACGGATGCTTTGAAGATTGAGGAGCGATCGTTGTTCATGTTCTTCGATGCGTTCAAGCATGACAACCTGAGCGTCTTCGACAAGTGCTTTAATCTGCCTGGTCGCAAGCTGACCAGGAGCAAGAAGCTCTTGTACATTTCCTATGAGGAGTCGACGCTGTTGCGTCGAACAAGGCTTCGATGTCACGACTCCCTCGAGCTCGATGTAGTCGAACATGCGATGATCATCTCGGAGTCTGCCTTGGAGTTGAAGCCGAGGAAGAGGTTGCTCATGGAGAACAGCACCAACAGGTTCAATCACCTCGGACCAGTCACGCTGGAGGACGGGGCGTTCCTAGATGTTCAGGTCATATGTTTGGCTGCGTCTCAACTCCAAATCCTAAACCCTGAATATCAACCCTAAACCCTAAATCCATCCTGCATCATTGCCTCGTCTGTGTGTCGGGGTTTCGGAGTGAAGTGTTTGAGGGGTGTGTTTTTGGGGTTGTAGGGGTTTAGGGGTTCACAGTTTGGGATTTCGCTTCATAGACTTTTGGATTTTAGAGCTGAAGCAGCAGGATCCCAACAACCTAGACGCAGAGTGGAATCTCTCGGTCCATGAGAAGCGAGAGCTCCTTGGGGACACCTTGCGTGAAACAGGTGGGTCAAAGCCTGGCTCCTCTGGAGACACGTCTGAGTCAAAGAACAAGCGCCAGGCGACGGATCTCGAGCCAGTCTCATTTCATGGAAACAGTGTTGACTTCTGGCAGGAGATTTATCACAGCTACTGGGTTGCCACAATTGTGGACATGACGCCACAGAACGACAACGCGGCTTTGGCTGCGATCATGCAGAAGAAGAAGTACCTTGCCATCGTCAACACCGAAGCC